AATTTGAGTCAGATTGATGTTAATTAACACACATCTTAATTCCAAATACTTTTGTAACACGTCTGATTTTTTGTGCATTTTATTAAAAGCTTGCCACATTTTGTGTAGGTACACTTAGTAATACAAAATTATAGTCAACATTCATTCTTTAATACTGGACCAACCCCATGCACATTTAATGAAACCAAACTGATAAATCTGACAAGATATAATCATTATAATTTATAATGTTGAAAACATGTTAAATTACAAAAATGTTTAGCTTCTTTTTTAGTGATAGACGTATGAAAAAGAATTTTAATGATTATCTAAAACAAAGTATTAATCAAAGATAAAAATAATTTATACTCCACTCCTGTGTACTTAAGTTATTTTGAATTTTCTAAAGATTTATAATAAATATAACATGTTAAAGAGTTGAATTTAACATCATATATGCAAAGTTGAAATTTGAAAAGTTAAAAATTTACTTTTACTTTAATATCCAACACTTAGGCCTAAACTGCAAAACTTTAAAATCAATTAATTTTATTTTAAAAGTAGCATTAGCTATAAAATGTTGCTTACAATAGGTAATACTAATAAAATATAATTATCTTGGTTGATACAAGCAATTTTCCTATAATAGATATTTACTCTCTAGCATAAATATTTTCTTTAACTAATAATGATTAGGTTAGGTTAACTTCCTTTCACACTTTCTGATAAAATTTCATGCAATCTGGTGAAAAAAAAACACACATTAAAATAATACTAAAGTTCACAACTTTTTAACTATGATGCAAAATGAATATAATTCTTTGTTGGTATTTCTGATTGTTTAGCAGAAAAAATAAGTTAGAGGAATATAAAAAAAAATTTCTGATAATAACAATCTGTATCTTTCTTTATGGAGAGAGGGGGTCAAAGTATAAACATCAATGCCCAGAAGGAAAAAAAATGCTGGTTCAGAATAAATTAATGATCTAAAAAATATACATACTTAAAATACTCACCACCATAAATTGTTCACTTGTATGGACTGCAAATTTACCTTTCTCAAGATGGATTACCTTTGGAGTCATCAAACAACATTTAAAGAACTGGACAGTACCCACCAACTGACAAGATAGGATACAACGTTGGTTATCTGGCACCTAATGTAAACATAAATATTTATTTATCAATAAGGAAAGTTTCTCTGCAATGCAAAGGAAAATAGACTTTTCTCTCTGAGGGCTTGTTATCCTAAACAATTTTGGGATGTAATACTACCAGAATGAGCAGTTTCATTTTTTGTTCATGCTAATGAAGTTTTTTCTCATGGAGCTGTTACCACTAATGTTGGACTTTCTAGTATCACCCTTCATTGCTTAAATTATTGTATACATAACAATGATTTGATGTTATTTTCCTAAAATAAAAATGTATTTCTGATAATATTCACCTCCTCATACAGAACAGCTACATGCCACTAGCCCTGAGATAACTCCCACCTAAAATCCATGTGTTTAGCATGAATTGTGATAGTGCATGATGACATCATCATCATAAATAAATAGCCCTCCATCAATAGGAGGGTGACAACTTCATAAGAAATAGGTGGTAGAAACAGCAAGAAACAGGACACGAATGAGAGCAAGTACCACCACATCACAGTCCCAGTTAGGCATGAGAGTTTGAGAAGAAGGAATGATCAGAACAACAGTGGAAAGGACAGGTGAAGAAAAGACCCTGAGGTTAACTGGGAAGGTGAAATATACTGGATAAGGCTGCCTAATAACCAGTGATGGTGTAGATCAACAAACCATGATTGAAAAACCAAGTAAAAAAGACAGAAAGGTGGGTCACAGTAGGATAGTTGGGAGAAAGGGTGCAGTGGATGGGCCAACAATGTAGAGAACTACCATTCTTGTTGATAAACAAAGTTGATGGACAAAAAGGAATAGGATGAGGAGGTTACATGATCTGAGAGTCCAGCCCTAAGGGCAATGGACCGGATAAATACTACATGTAGAGAAGAAGGGATAATACCCTAGATGAAAAAGCTACAAGTGAGGTAGAAGCAAAAGTGAGTGGAGGAAGGAGGTCTGGACACCAATCTAAGAAGCAGAGGAAACCAGAGTCAATCTAAATTACCTGACAAGGAGTGTTGCATATCAAGTCCCCAAGGGAAGAGTGGAAGAGGAAGCTAAGCATACAGCGTAAGGTGAGATCAGTCCTGGCTGAGCACATCAACAGCCAGAGCCAAAGTATGAAACACAGGGACCAGAAGACAGGAAGCTTGGAGTTGAGAGGAGAGGAAAAGGCATCAATAAGAAGTGGGTCTAACTGAGAGCAAAACCAGCAAAAAATGCATACATGAGAAGCAACAAGATGAACTCAATGGGAAAGTATTCAAAGAAGGAGACCCAATGCAAAAAGCAGAGAGTCCTGAAGTGGGTGCCCCTTGACAGGTAATATAAGGAACAATCATGGAACTGTCAGAGTGGACCCTAACCAACTGATCCACTAAAAGAGGCAAGAAATGGGAACATACCCAATTAACAGCTAGAATTTTGATGACATTTTGTGGAATGAACTCACTTTAAGCAGCAGAAGACATGGTGTTATTCAGAAATGCACCCCAATCCCAAAAGGTAGCAACTATGAAGAGATAGAGATCCAGTCGAAGAGGTAATGGAACATCAATCATGGTATTGGAAAAGTTTACCCATCAAGAAAATTCCTCAAGAAGAGGAGAAGGGATGTTCACAATCAAGGACAATAGGTTCAGAGAAAGATTCAACTAGTCTCGCAAAGTTCACTGGAGAAGGCACATATGTACACACTGCCAAGGAATTAGTGGTTCCATGGAAGTCAGAGCCCTTAAAAGTGAAAGAGCTTCAAGTGCAGCACAAACTAAGGTAACCAGACAATCCATAGGTCACAGGCAAAGAGCTGAAGACCGACCCTGACTGAGATGAGAGTAGAAAAGAGCATCTTGGTGTACTTAATACTGTGTAGCATAAGTAAGAACTTGGAAAGCATGACAAGTCATCCTAACCGAGCATCCTCCTTAAGAAGAAGGGGGATGTGATAGAAGAACATCTCCTAAGAATGGGCAAGTAGAAGCCAACCAACCATGCAGAAATCAAAACACAGTCCCAGTCTGTGAAGGCAGCAAGCAAAACCCCCTCATGACTCAATGGAAGACATAGTGCTGACACCATGAGGAAGGGAAGAGCACATAATTGAAAGACTCAATTCTGATGGATGAAACATAAAAAACATATGGAGGACGAGGTAATCAGGCAACCATAGTAACCAGCAGATCGGTTGAAAAACCAGTGGAGAGAAAAGAAGATCTCTATCTGGAACCATGAAGTGACAACAAACCAGTTGAGAGATAATAGGTCAATAACCAGATGCCAATCCCAGGTCTACTAGGGGACCACCAAGAAGTGAAAGTAAAAAAACCTAGGAAGGGGTGTATACCCTCTCAATGGCATGCTTGGTTGAAATATCTGAGACCGAATTCATGATATGCTGAAGATAAAAGGGGAAGTGGAAATGTTTGTTTTGAACTTCATGCAAAACTTCACAAGGGCTATCTCTGCTAGCTGTCCATAATTTAGCAGTAAAAGATAGAGAAGGCAGTTAGTCATCATCACCCACTGCCAACTCTTGGGCTACTCTTTTGCCAACGAATAGTGGGACTGACCATCACAGAATAATACCCCCACAGCTGAAAGGGTGAGCGTGTTTGGTGGGATTTGAACAGTTTGCAAGTTGATTGCCCTAACCGCCTGGCCATGCAAGGCAAAAAGAGGAGAGAGACTGTGGGTGAAAACATGGGGAGAAAAACATCTGTCAGTAGAAAACTGAAACCAAAGGCAAGTGAAGTGAGACAGATGAGCACACATAGGGCTTGACCTATCAGGACAGTCACTAACGCGGTGCACATTAGAGAGAGGAACTCATCTCGACCCAGAAGAATCAGGTAATAAGGGATAGAGTAGAAAAAGTGGTACAGATTAAGACAGTAAAGAAAAGGGAAAGATCCTCTCTGGAAAACCCCTATGGAGCACTAAGAAATGGCTCAGACAGAAGGTGGATGGTGGAGAGGAAAAGACGAAGACACAAAAATAGTGAACTAGAGAACAAAATAGAGAATAATGCAGGCAAGATATTCTAAAGAAGACTGAGAATCTATAAAAGGAAAGAAAAATGGCTTGAAGTTAGGACAAAAGTCATGAATGCAAGGTGGACATGGCATGTGGGTATAAGTGTGAAGTTGTTCAAGAAAGGAATCAGCATGAACCCTAATATTAGGCAAAGGAGAAAAGACAAAGTAATTTTGAGAGTGGGTTTCATGGAGTAAAGAATGGGAAAAATCAAAAGACACTGGCTAAAAAAAACATACCTAACCAGTATAGTGGCACCTAAAGCAAATTCAGGTGGAGGGAACTGTCGGTAAAATTTGTTGTACTCCCATTCATTCACAAACTGAGGAGAAAAGCCATTGACCGAATGGACAAGATGAGGAAGCCCAGTATGCATGAGGAAACCCACAACATGCTTTACAATGGCTGTAAGGTCCTCAGCACTCAACGAGCCTCCAGAAGCCACAGTAGAAATAGGTCCTGTACTTGTAACTAGTTATTTTCACAGGAAAAATTAGAAGTAATCATAACTTGAGAATTTATTAGGTTAAACAATGCTTTTAAAGCAAAAACAAAGGCAGAAAAAAAAAACAAGTTTCACTGACAACTGCAAATCTCTGTCAATTGAGCATAGACTTGAAAAAATTAACATGCATGTTCAAGGTAATGCCAAGGAAAAGAATGAAGTTATTTCAAGTGCAAATGCTTAAGGGAAAAGTTACTATGCACTAAGATTGTGTTGCCTTCCTATTGGTGGAGAGCTTTTGTTGCATGATGACATCAAAGTTAGTGGCATGCAAATCTCGTAGGCAGATGTGTGAGGGACATAGCTATTCTGTCAGTGGAGGTGAGGTATCGTTTTGGAAGAAAATATTTTCATAATCATACACTTAATTAAAAAAGAACATTTGCTATGCTTTATATAATGCTGAGATTATTATATTTTTTAACTGTTCAGAAGATTGTGAATTGTAAACTAGTAAGTGTTTTTCAAGTAATTTGCCAAAATGTTCAATTTGTGTTACTTTTGAGTCAAGTATTGGCAGTAATGTTACAACAGTGAAAGCATCCACCAAGAGGTTGGTTGTGAGACAGTTATCAATACAGATGTGTAGGGTTTAAAGTAGTAATATAACTGACATTTAATGTAAATCTAAATTTATATCTCAGCAACATCAAAGATATCAATAGCTTACAGAATTTTGTTTAACAAAAGTAATTTTATTCAGTATCAGGTTTTCCTATTTCTACTTGTTAAGTAATGGATGGTTTACAGTTTCTAAAGTTTCAGTACACCTCATATTCAATGGTCCTAGTTCATATTCTATTATTTCTTTAAATTTTTAAAACTGAAGATGTAGTGACAGTGTGCTCATTTTCTTGTTAAGAACTAGTTTTCTCAGCTTAATGGCAAAAGATTGTAGCATTCTAAGTTGGAAATCTAACCAAAAATGGAAGATAATGCAGAAGAAACTGGAAGTGAACACAATATCACATTCCTTTAGATAGTGGCTAGTAATTTTACTGGTATTGTAGGTTTTACTTTTATTTGACTGGACAGCCTTTTAGTGGTTGATACAACATATCCATGGTTGAATCTTGGGAACTCATATACAACTACTCAGGTTTTCAGTAGTTGTTATTTGTCTTTAAAGTTGAAAAGCTCTGAACTTTGTTCATTAGACACATTTTAACTGAACTTGTGGATATAGCTGTTTGATAATTTTATTATTAATCAAGTAGAAATTGTGCCTCAGTAGGATATCACTACTGTTTTAAGAACATCTAACATAACAACAGATGGGATATTCAGTTTTCAGTTTTTCTGTGTGGATTATTCTATTTACAAACAAATTTGGAAAACAATTTCTTCTCAGCATATGTTTTAAAGTTCTCACTTCTGCTTGTGAAATTTTTTGATTTCCCGATATTTTAAATGCTTTGTATAGGAGATTTTCTTTAAAGGCTGAAGAAGTGAGATTTAAAATGTGAATATAATCCAGTGAAAGTGGGTTCATGATACACTTTAGTGGTAAATTTATACTAGTTATTTAAAACATGATCATCTAAAAATGAGAGTTTGTCGTGCTGAATTTCAACAGTGTACTTTATATTGGGTCAGGAGTAAGGTTGGAGCCAATAGCCATTCCATCAACCTGTTCATAGATTTTACTGTCCAAACATAAAATGAGACTGTGTCATCACAAAATGTAAAAGTGGTTTAAAAACATCTTTAGTTATACCCTCTACAATTTCATTTTCAGAACACACAAGACTAGAATAATGATCAATGGTTTTGTACAATGAATAACATCAATAAACTGTGTCTGTTTTAAGCTTCTGACAAATTTAAAAGTATCCTTAACAAAGTATTCATCCTTTACAAACTCATTCAAAAACAGGGTGAAACAACTTGCTAATGGTTGATTATAGGTGCCTTCACTAGAAACAATTGAACAAACTGGACATCCTTGTTTGTGAACCTTACAGAGGCCTGTTGTTTTGATTTTTTTGGTACACATCTTCCATTATGACACTATTTTTTTAACTTTAAAAGGTATTTCATAAGTTTGGCTTCTTTGGTTTTTGTGGGATCACTCTTAATTTCTGTAAGCTTATCTGTATTACTTACAATAGTTTCCATTCTGTTGGTGTACTTCACTTCATTTAAAATCACAAAGTCCCTAAAATATTTAAAAACTTCAAAATATAGGTTTCATCCTTGCTTAAATTACTGTTCTTTTTTCTGTACCTTGGATGTAGGATCTATCTATAAAGTGTCTGCATGCCTAAAATTCCCATGAATATCACAATATTTTAAATTAGCATGACTCAAGAGTTGTACCACAGTTTTTTGGTCAGTAGACTAATTTGTGTTTTCAGCAGTATTATGTTCTTTGTCACAAAGCAAGAGCAACATATGCCTGATTTCAAAACAGAAATATTAATGTCATAGAATAGCATGACCATATCTACAGAACATCTCTGACGATATATGGTTGCATTGATGAAAAAAACGGTTAGACCACAGCTCTTCTTTCATCATCAGCTTGTTTTTGAAATTAAAAAAATGGAGATAATTATTCAACAGATATATTTAGAAGTTAGATCAAAGCATGTCTCACAGAACAGCAGCAGTTATTCAAGCCAAGCAAACTTAAAACATCTGAGGTTGACTGCAAACAGACATTTGATACTAACATGGAACAATAAACACAAAATGTGTAAAAATCAAGTGCTTCTTTAAAATAAAATGCCTCATAGTAACAAAAGTAAAATTGTAAAAAAAATAAAACTAAGAGAACATTTAAATCTACATGTAAAATGTTGAATTTTGCTCATGAATATCAATGGTTTCCTTATACTTAAAATCTCTGAAGAATATTTAACATTTCAATGTTTATATAGCAGTCAGAAGTTTCAAGTATAAAGGAACAATGGGGAAAAATGTACTAAATTCTAGTCAGCAAGTGTTAAAGTATATAAATATTACAGATATCATACTCTGGATCAATAAGAGAGAAGCTAATATGGATGAACAAACTCTACTTATTTTTGATACTAAGTTATTGAAACTATGCACTTTAATAATTTTTTATAATTATTTGGAAACTTCTGAATTTATACACTTGCAAGAAAACAGTTAACATGGCCATGCTATAGTTACTAGGTCTTTCAAAATCAGTAATAATAAAAATTTATATAAAAAATATCAACTGCAGATTTCATTATACTTCCACCTTCAATTTTCTGTGTTTAAAGTATTCATACACAGATTGTATCTGTTGGTGAAAAAATAGCACTGGGCTACTAAACACAATTTAGATGTACCATGACTTAGAATTTCACATATGAAGGGATTGTTCATGAAATACATTTACCTTTTCTGGATGGAAAAACACTATGGAATTCTTTGGATCATCATCTTCTGCTTTGCCATAGGACATTTCGTATATGAAAAATACTTGCATGTTTGACCTATATGATGAGGAAAGTTTTAAGTTATAGTTATGTTATTTCCTTAATAATTTTTCCATGAATAAGAGGAGTTCTAGTCTAAAAACATTTCCATAATGCAATCTTAATTTTATTCATCTATGTAAAAGCTTAAATGAAAACTTACTGCACAACACTTTCATAGCCAAAGAATGTACACAATGGAGATCTTTTTGTCCAGTCTTCAGACAAATAGGCATTCCCTACAAAAGTCCACACAGGAAATCTCTCAATCTCAGGGATACCCACTGCAGAAACAAGAAAAATCATTATTATTATTATTATACAAAGATATGAGAACAAACTGTTTAAATTAACATCATGAAAAAACAATGTTTGAAATAGTACTTTTAAGTAATCATTGGTGGCATGTTCAGTTTACTACATACTAGGTGAGCTTACTGTGGGCTAAAGAATTATTACAAATTTAGGTGAACATTAAGTATCAAGCACACCTGTAAAGTAACATTCCTGTATTAATCCAAAAGTTATTTATGCCAATAATCCATTTATTACAGACCAATAGTGAGAAAAATTAAATTTTCGAAACAAAACACATACACTAATAACCTATACATAGGGTAAAGTTTATTTATCTCTATAATTATTACATTAAATTTTATGAACAAACAAATGTAAAACTCGACAATTGTAATGATATACATAAAATAATTTTTATACATCACTGTATTTAAATTATGTTAATAACTAATAATAGGTTATATCTTTTAAACAATATTTTATATAACATATGTTTGATGTTACATATCTTTGCTGGTCAACAACATAGTAACTAAATAAAAACTGAATATAACAGTGGCACTCATGCTTTTTTTTGTATGTCAAAATACTAATTTAAATATGAACAATAACTTGAATGAGACTTGTGCTGACTCTCTAACTTAGTAGAGGTAGAATTAGTAGTACTAGTAGTAGGCCTACAACACTAAAAATAAACCAAAAACTATCATCTATCCATATAAACTTATTACAAAATACAGCTTTTATGTATTTTAACTTTTAAGTTTAAGCACTGTGTCGATTTTGAGTCTAAATTCAATTTCTAATTATTACTTTTAAGGACTTACTAACTTGGTAAGTTCCTTCTAACTTAGGTTTATACACTGCTGTTTACTTCTTCAACTTTCAAGTTGTAAATTAAATATAACTATAAGTTAACTTATAAGGTATATTATTATTAAATATTATAAATGCTGAAAGTTACTCGAGTTTGAAGTTGCCTACAACTTGCATGAGGCACAAACTGCTTAAACTATGATAAGATATATCTAACATTTACGAAAGGTGGTATTTGTATTACAGTTTTTAAAAGTTCTAACACTATTACTACTAGTACTAGTAGTAGTAACACTTTTAAAAGTTGAATATAAAGACAATTTTTCTAGAGTTTATGTCAGTGACTGCCCATCACGTAAATAAAGATGCACTACAAAATTCCAAAGTGCCTATTAAACTGCCATTGTATCATTACAATTATTAGTTTTCCCACTTTCATTTCTTATTATAAAAAAAAATTCAGAATTCACTCATACACGACATAAATCCTGCCCAAATACACCTATACTGTACCTCGTATCTGATCAAAAATAAAACCTACTACTACGCAGGACGGGTAAAAACGTGGACGTTGGAACACCCAAAAGGAAAATCTTCGTTTGAAAAATACACTGCAATCCACTTGTCATGATGTATATCTGTATTACCGGTTTCATTATCACTTGATAATAAACTAATATTTTCCCATAAGAATTTAAAAAGTTATAATATGGTAAATTGCGCAGCCGTTTTTTATCATTGAAAATTATTACACAAAAAATATAAATAAATTAAACGTTCATAAGTTCAGGGAATAAATCCTAAACACATTTATATTACCGGTTAGATGGATATATTTTTAGAACATATATACTGCTTTAATAACTTTGTTTCAGTTTACTTGCTATTGAGCTTCACATAAGTTTTGCTAGACACCCAGTTAACAAAAATCTGAGACTAATCTGTAGAATCAGGTAAGTGTTCGTCACTGGCATGTCTAATGATAATAGGATATCCTAGCTTTTCATAAAATGTATAT